TTTAGCCTAGGCAATGACCCCCAATGCTTAGGCCTGCAGCCGCCTATGGTAAGAAGATTCACCAAAGTGTGGTATTATGACTTTTTCTTGCAGTTGCATGCTTAGGATAATGAAAGCTAATGATCCCAATTTTTAAATTAGTGCTATTACATTACAAGGCATGAGAATAAAGGATCATTTCCCCCTATAAAGGAATGGAGTTATCTGCATCTATGCCTCTTATGACGTCACGTTTAGCCACACCCACCGACAGGAAGTAAATTGAAAGGAAGCAAAAAGTGCATTTTTGAAGGCTCATATCTCAGTGAATAAATTTTTTTAGACAATAGGAGTTGGAACACATAATTATTATGGTCAGGCAATCATATTAAGACCATAAAATAAATACCCTAAAAAATCACTGCAGTTACACTTTAAGTAACTTATTTTTGTGAAAGAAGGTATTTAGGTGTTTTTGTTTTGTTCAGTAGACCTAATAAATTTATTCTCATTTCATTTTGTCAACAGGCCTCATGTTTATATGACAAAATTAGAAGACCTTCATTTTTATTTGTAACCATCTTTTCTAGACTTTCGAACAGAGTTAGCTAGTAAGTCTTGGAATCATAATAGTGTATTGTTTGTTACATAAATTAAAACTATTCTCATGTCAATCTAAGGAGAAATGACTGAGATAATAGCCAAAAACTGGTTTTTGAAATTATGTTTGTAACCACCTTTTTGAGACTTCGGTGTCAACAAGTTACTACTTTAAGTGTATTCACAAAGGCCTCCTATATAGACTGTTTATGGTTTCATTTTTCTAGATGCTATGTTTCAAAAGTAATTGTATAATAGTGACTGGGCATATCAAAGGCATCGCCTGTGGTTACAATTGTGATGTTGTGGAGCTTAAGTCCACCAAAACTCTTTATTCACAAGTAGAACGTGCTAAAGCACAAGATTGACGAAGATAAACAAATGGGAAAATTGGAAAAGACAGAACAAGGAAAAGAGGAGAAAAAGCAAGGATAAAAGAACACATGTATATGTGTGCGCATGCGTGAACAAGACAATAGCAATAATAATAATAATAATAATAATAATAATAATAATAATAATAATAATAATAATTTATTTGTTAGACTACTACTAATGCTAGCAGCAGCAAACAATAATAATAGTAATAAGATAAGTAGAATAACAATAATAATAATACTGGTTACTTTGCTAGTCACTACAGTACTCCCCCACCAGTGAGCAATGGGAATACTAAAGATTGAGCCGATCAGGAAAATGGACACAACGTCCTGAACGAGTGTGAGTGGTGGAATGAAGCTGTGAAACAGGAATTGGTGAAGAAGAGGGAGTAAAATCAGGGGGTAGAGTTGGAGAGGAGGAAAGTGGAAGAGAGTGTGAATGATCTAGGTGAGCAGCCTTCAACCTATCGATACTGACTGCATCCTGCTTCCCATTTATATCTACAATGAAGTGCTTATCTGAACGAGAGAGGACTTTAAATGGACCATCATATGGCTGTTCTAATGGCCTCTTAGCAGAATCTCGTCGAATGAAAACATGAGATGTGGAGAAGAGTGAATTATCAATGAATGAGGTGTGTGAGCTGTGAGTTCTGGTAGGAACAGCATGAAGAGTCCTCACATACTGCTTTAATCTAGTGATATATGTCTCGTCAGGAGCAACAGGAGCTGCTGATGGAGAGAAAAACTCACCAGGCAAACGTAAAGACATACCGTAAATCAACTCGGCAGCTGTACAATGTAGATCACCTTTGAGTGCAGTACGTATTCCCAACAGTACTAGTGGTAAGGACTCAGTCCAGGACGTACCAGTGTGGGTCTTGAGAGCTGCTTTGAGCTGCCGGTGGAAACGCTCAACCCAACCATTGGCTTGAGGATGATAGGAAGTAGTTCGACACCGGACAGTACCCAACATAGCCATCAATTGTGTCCAAAGCGAGGACACAAACTGGCCTCCTCTATCAGTGGTGATAATTGATGGTACACCAAAGCAAGAGATCCAACCAGACACTATTGCCTGGGCTACTGAAGGGGCAGTGATATCTGGAAGAGGAAATGCCTCTGGCCAACGAGTGAACCTGTCAATGCAGGTGAGAAGATAGCGGTGTCCCTGAGAGAGAGGTAGGGGGCCCACAATGTCAATGTGAATATGATCAAAACGTGAGTCCGGAGTGGGTAAATGAGAGGGGGAGAGAGTGTGTCGAATGACTTTAGAACGCTGACAGGGAAGACATGATTGGGTCCACTGCTTAATAAGGGAGTGCATCTTTGGCCAAACAAAATGAGCAGAAATAAGCTGCTGGGTAGCTCTAATGCCTGGATGAGAGAGGCTATGTAATGTGTCAAAAACTGACCTCCTGAAGGAAGGTGGGACCACTGGGCGTGGCGTATCTTGTGACACATCACAAATAATAGCATAATTACATTGAGGAAGAGAAAAGGGTTGAAGAATGAGAGAGTGGTGTGGTGATTCCACTGAGAGGACACTACAAATATCTTGAGCTGCTGTCATTGCTTCCAAGTCAATTGTAGGTGTAGATCCAACCGAGTTGAGCTCTATCCGCAATAAGGCATCTGCTACGGGATTATGGGGACCCTGTATATGACGAATATCATTTGTAAATTGAGCAATGAAATCTAAATGTCTGAGTTGCCGTGGGGAATGTTTTTCAGACTTAGTAGACAATGAAAATATTAGTGGTTTATGATCAGTGTATACAGAGAAAACATACCCCTCTATAAAATGGCGAAAATGCTTAATGGCAAGATAAATTGTCAAAAGTTCCCCATCATAAGTACTATACCGCCTCTCAGTGGGGGATAGCTTGTGAGAGAAATAGGAAATGGGCTTCCATTGACCATTGACCAATTGCTGCAATACTGCACCAACAGCAATATCAGATGCATCAGTGATTAAAGAGGTAGGAGCATCAGGAGTGGGGTGATACAGCAACGTGGCATTAGCCAGGGCATTTTTTACAGAATTAAAAGCTAAAATACATTCCTCTGACCACTGTAACTCAGACTTTGCGTGTGTTTTATTAAGTAGTGTGTGCAAGGGTTGAAATACCTGAGCACAGTGAGGAATGAATCTGTGGTAGAAATTGATCATGCCAAAAAATTCCCGTAGCTGGCGCTGAGAAATTGGACGAGGAAAATCTTTAATTACTGACACTTTTGTCTCCGCTGGACGAACTCCCTGAGAGTTGATAATGTGGCCCAAAAACTGCAGAGAGGTAACACCAAATTCACACTTGTCCGGATGTAGAAGAACGCCATACTCCCTAAAACAATCAAAAACCAGCCGAAGGTGTTGCTTGTGTTCCGCTTCACTGGAACTGGCTATCAGGACGTCATCTATGTACGCATATGCAAACTGCAACCCACGTAATACTTCATCAATGAACCGTTGAAATGTTTGAGCTGCATTACGCAACCCAAAAGGCATACGAATGAACTCGAACAGCCCAAAAGGTGTGGTAATAGCTGTTTTGTGTATATCCTGTTGTGCAACCGGTATTTGGTGGTATGCCCTGACTACATCAAGTTTAGAAAAAATAGCTGCTCCCTTAAGAGTGGATGTGAGATTGTGTAGATGTGGGATAGGATACCTGTCAGGGATGGTAATTCTATTCAGTGCTCTGTAATCCCCACATGGTCTCCAATCACCAGACTTTTTGGGGACCATGTGTAGTGCTGACGACCAGTTACTGGAGGAGGGGCGGATAATGTCCAGTT